GATCAATGGTCTCCAAATCGACGCCCCGCAGCTTCCCCCAGCTCCGCCCACAGCTCCCTCCCCAACAGGGCGAGGGCGGAAGCGCGGGAAGTAGTAGATTGAAAGTAGCACTGGCGAACGTACCGAAAGTACCACGCCTGTCACACGAAACAGGGTTTTACATAGGATTGTGAATCTACTGAAACCCGTCGTGTGACATGAGAGGAGATGACATGACATGACATGACATGATATGATGCATAAGGTAAACAACCTAAACCCTAAAACCTAAAACCCATAAAAACCTAAACCCTACACCCTAAACCCTAAAACCCCTAAAATCCTAAACTTCAAACCCTCAACCCGAGTCCGATGTCCCACAATCCGAAACCCCAAACCTTTGCAAGTCAATGGCTGGCTTGCGGCCTAAAACCCCAAAGATTTAGGGTGTGGGGTTTAGTTTGAACCCCAAAACCCTAAACAGCTTAAAAGCCCCTGAAAAGGCTAAACCCTACAACCCCCTTAAAAGCCCAACCTTAAACCAGGGATCCGGCGTTTGCGGGATGTTTTTTCGAAAACTGAGGTGGATTTGGGGTTTAGGGTTTAGGCTTTAGGATGTAGCGTTTTGGGTTTAGGGCTTAGGATTTAGGGTTTAGGATTTGGCCTTTGGGTTTAGGGTTTAGGATTTAGGATTTTGGGTTTTAGGTGACCCAAAAAGCAGGCTAGCAAAGAGCCGCGTAAATACACTCATCAATGTCCCAACATGGGTGGGGGGCCTTATACTTGGAATAGGGTTCCTGTACAAGGTTCCTTTAAGGCTTTCTATAGGGGTTTAGGGTTTCATAATTCACAATTACTGCGTATGATACTGTAACTACATTTCGACAAACCTGTGGAATAGCATGGTAGTTGTTCAATAACCCTAAACCCTAAACCCTAAGCCCTAAAGCCGAAGCCCTAAACCCCTAAACCCTAGACCCTAAACCCTAAGCCCTAAACCCCAAACCCTAAACCCCTAAACCCCTAAACCCCAAGACCCCTACACCCTAAACCCTAAACCCTAAACCCCGAAACCCTAAACCCAAAGCCCCAAACCCTACACCCTAAACCCTTAACCCTAAACCCTAAACCCCAAACCCTAAACTCTAAATCCTAAACCCTAAACCCTAAACCCTAAACCCTAAACCCTAAACCCCCAACATCCTAAACCCTAAACC